TTACGCCGCACTATATGGCGGCGGTCTGTAAATAATCGAGTCTGGACCAGACAATCCAGTTATCAACAACATGAGCATCGATCTGCGCAATTGGGAACCGATGACATGTGTCAACCAAGTCAGCGAGCCTGACCACCCGATCCCGTTAGTCGCCTTTTACGACAAGCATAGTCGCCTTTTATGACAAGAATGGGTTGCTGAAGACCTATTCTACCCCGGATCTTCACGGGTCTCCATGTGTAAGAGATATGCATAAGAAATACTTGGATCAGAAATCCTACAGCGAAAGGACGTACTCGGAAACATGCTGTGCTCATCCACATGATAAAATACATACCCATTCACCCTTTTCTTCGTCATGTTATAAGGTAAAAATTATTTCAAAGTTGGCTCAGGTTATTATAATAGTACACACCATTTGTTGCAAACCCTTGACGAATCTAAAATAAATACTAAAGTGTTGAATATATATTCTAATCTCGCCCATCTATCCGCCACATGGGACAGAATATATTTTTCAGTCAGCCCGTCAAATACGCATTGAAAGAAGTCGGGCAGTTTTTAGCCCACCACTCGTGATTGTTCATAACACATATCCAGCGTGTTCAGTGTACGAGTTAGCTTTGTGCAACCTCAGGGCAATTTTCCCGAAGAACTTTCTGGAACAGATTATTTGATTTTAAGTCATTCCAATTACCCACCAAAAGTGTCGTAGCACCGTTTAAATTACGTCCCTCGTCCTGTAGTACCCTGACCTAGACAGTCACAGAGGGAGCTTTGTGGCCCGGGACAACGGCTGGGTCGACTTGACCTCGCATGACTTATATTAACGACTTCCGCTCCACACAGACACGTGGGCGGAACGTCCATTAGGCAAGGTTTTAGCTGAGGCCGGATCGATCATCCCAGTCACTCCGAGGACGCGAAATACATATTCCAATGGAACTTTGCATGATGAAAGTAGATATTTATGAGATATGGAGTCATTTCCTGAAACAATTTTGCATGGAGGATGGTCTATAAACGTTAAAGTTGCATGAGGAGCAAAACACTAAGACTGGGTTTACGGGAGTAAGAGATCACCTTGTGTCCATTTTAGTGTGTATTTCCTTCATCATCTGGGCTAAAGTTGTACTACATCATATATTGATCGAAATGTTTGGCAATTGCACTATCTAATGGTTTTTAGCGATTGAATGTGATATTAACGCCATCCGCGTTGCCATTTTGCTTTCTCCCCAGAGTCCCATGCCTATCGTACGATCCGACGTGTAACGATATGACGATGAAGTGTGTTCATGATATCAGTCACTAGTTTGTCTGTCTCTGTGTATGTTGTAACGGAGTAATACATTAACTCGATCGTTACACAAATGATACTGGTACGGTTTAAATGCCACCTTCAGAGCTTTCAAGTTTTGTCTCCAGTCTAGTGAGTGAGTGAGTGAGTTGGCTTTTACGCCGCTTTTAGCAATATTCCAGCAATATCACGGCGGGAACACCAGAAATGGGCTTGAAACATTGTACCCTTGTGGGGAATCGAACCCGGGTCTTCGCCGTGACGAGCGAACGCGTTAACCACTCGGCTACCCCACGCGTCCTATCTCCAGTCTAACCGAATCAAGCAGGGATACGACAACTGGGGATGCTTGTGGTTTTGCTTTTTGCGCACGTGTGTGTGCATTTGTCTCATGAGCTGTAGCATAATGAGACGTCACTAATGTATTATACTATGGTCGTATGGCGTATTAAGGATCACATCATGTTTTGCATTCAGTATACAGAAAGGTCTAAATTTAATGACGTTTCGGAGAATGATTAATTCCTAATTGGTAACCAATACCATCAGATAACGAAGAATGGCGATTGTTGTACTAAATAGCAAAATGTACAGTTAGAGTACAGGTCAAAGGCTCAGGTGCATTCTGTCGCATAAAGTGTAAATTAGGATTTATAGAAAATACTATACAATTAGTGTTTAACTACTTGTATAGGATTCCGATCTATGAAAGTTTCCAAATGTTTGTCAGATTAACAATTGCTTCGACCACACCCCCGTTTTGTGCGGATATATCGTCAGCCATTTGTGTCAAGATCGTTTAGTTGAGAGTCAAAATCGGGTTTCAATCGACTTGCAGAAATAACAATAAAGAATTGGTAGGTGTCATGAGTGGTGCTCGATCGGCCAATCATCCATGATTATGTTTCCATTAAGTTTTAATTGATTGCATGCGATGGTAGCGTAGCGATCGGCAAAGCAGTCGGGTGGGGTGCACCGAAGTGTCCGGCCTTGTCATGATGTATTATACTGTGAAGCATTTCGAGTCGGGGGTCATCTCAAATTTTTGTATATATTTTATAAAATCTTTAATCCCCGCAAAGACACGAGGGCCTGTAGTCTCACATGGGCACAATGGAACTATTCCTGTGTATGTTATGCAGAACCCGATGAAATAACCACACGCCCCACAACCCAGATCACTGTTACCTTGAAATGAATGCGAAACCACGCTTCAGAAAAGAACAATTCCATTAGCAAGTAATGTCGTCCTCTTCAGCCCGACCTCCCGGCGACGTGGTGGATGTAGATTGATGTTGTAGATAAGTCGGCAATATACACTAGGTCTGTGATTTCAGACACAGACCCAATAAGCTGCTGGAATATATTTCCCCGCCACATTGTACATGGGAATTACGACCAATCAGCCGGCAGAATATAGATCACTGCCGCCAGATGTCTGGGAGGTTTTACCAAGTGTGTGATACTGAATTCATTCGGGTTCAGCCGGCTAAGTCCGTTACCTACATAATACGGTGGAACAGTGAGAGTGCATGACTTCACTTTAAAGCGAATGCCCATCCTTCAAGCTACAAGTCCAGTGACGCCTGCTTTAAGAAAAAACATTTTGTCGTGAAAAGAATTACGGAAGTCCTGTCGATATCTATCAGCAGTTACATGAGGTCACGACTGCCTTCAAGTACGTTCCACACAATGCTGGCCGAGATACCTATGGCGTTGATGTTAGATTAGTGACTTTGAATTTTGGCTTGATCTGTACAGGTTTTATCCAGTCTGTGGTACTTTTCAGGCTAGGATACCCTAGTCGATAGATCGATACCTACATTGCCTCATTCGCCGGATTGAAAGCCATGATCAAAGGTTCAACAGCTTGCCTCAGACATAGTAATGTGTCCTTTCGCCTACATCAACTCGGGCAACCCTGCCATAAAGCTGTTACGTGTAATACCACTGAGAACTGTTTAAGTCATCGGGACAAAAAACAAAACAAAACAAAACAATTCGTCATATACACTAAACGCCAAAAGAAACGTTACCCTCCTTCCTTAATGACGGAGGTACCTATCTTCAGCTGGCGTTGTGATGCGTGGACGTCGACTTCTTGGTCTGTCTACGGGGACCCCAGTCTGTCTGAAGCCCTGAATAAGTCTTATAACCGTGATACGGTGGCATCCGAGGGCGTTGGCAACAGCATTGTACGTCGACCCCATCTGCACCATCCCAATGACTCTTTCTCTCTCTTCAGCTGTTAATCGTGGCATATTTCTCGTACTTGTGTATCATATCATGTATTCTAGGCTCTCTTCATACCCTATAGAATCATTCTACATGTGAAATGGATGCAAATACTGCTTGAATATTGCTGCGTTTTGGCGATTGATATTGCTATGTGGAAACAGAAAATGGAAAAATGTTACTTTGCAAGCAAAAATGTTAACAAAGACAATTTTAGATGTTCCTAAACATTTTTTCACAATATCAAAGACACGTTTTACTTGTTTTCACTAATGCAAATCAGCAGAAAATGTTTTAAAAGACTGAAATCATAGGAATGATTATTTTACAATTTTACACACTCTACAACAGTTGTTTCTTGTTTTAATAGTTGAAAAATGGTGACTTTCAATGGTTTATCATTATCCCAAAACAGAAATTTATTTCAACCTTTCTTTTGGACATGAAAATCACTGTTATTGGTTTATTTCGGCATGGACGAATATAGGACAATTTAACTCTTCTGAAAAAGATGCATTTCACCTAAATATGAATGCATTTGAGAATTTTGTTTCGTGATTTGCATAAAGCTGTGTTGTTAAGCTTTCTTGTAAACTAAAACCTTCTAACATATCTTTGATAGTTTTTCGGTAATTCATAAAGGTAGGAAGGTAACGTTTCTAGTCTAGTGTATGTCAGTTCGCTCTAAGCCTGTTTGTTATCAACGTTGTTAACTGTACGGGGAAGGAATATGCATGTTGTTGCTTGCACGACGCTCGACAGATAAGGCAAGGACTAAGCGGTCAGTATTTTGTCCAGCACGATAAAACCACCGTAAATCTTGGCTATGACTAGCAGCCACCTCCTCCCTCCCACCAAACACACGTATGAATCATATGATATATACTGGCAAACAAGGATAAGTTGGACCGGCGCAGAGAACGAGTTTACGAGGAGTAGGCGGTGCACGGCAATGAGCAAACCCATTTGGTTTGTGAAAGGTAGAGCCGATTAAGCTAGTGCACGTGCATTACATGACGATGAAACTGATTCCGCGCGTAGCTGCACACGCCTTGTTCATAGACTCTCATGTGGTCGGTGTAGCAAGCGGTAATATTCGGATATATAGATATATATTTCGAGAGAATTAAACATGTCAAAGTTAGGTAAGCACGGTCAGGTAATACATCCTCAGACCCGAGAAGTGGCATACAATGTTATTACGTACATGGAGAAAGAATGTACATCTACGAAACGGCACTGTTAAAAGCTAGCGCTTCACCCATCGCACTACACTTGATCGCGGACAACCTGGGGCCCCTTCGCTAACAATGGCAAGCGCCAGTGGGCGGCACTCATACATGCTAATACGGTCAATTGTCAGGTCGGTGCTCAACTAATCCTTGTTTGCCAGAAAGTGCAACATATCTAAATCCTAATACACTTCACCTTACAACACACCTCATCAACTCTCTTTTTCTTACAGGTTGGTTCACTGTGGTCAACTCGGAGTCCGACACCCTGCCTCGACATACTAGGATAGAAACAGTCGCAGGATGTCCCTCTGAACGCTTCCTGGTGGGCACGCAGCTCCCGGTACTTATCCATACACCGGGCTATGACGGCGAGGCCCAGTACGTGGTGAGTGACGTCATGCCAGGAGGGGTACTGCGCAAGACCGGTACTTGTGAGAGCGATGAGGCCATGGCGGATGTCATGGACATGTTGAAGAAAGGAAAACCGTGTTTACGGTGCACGGATGAGAAAACGATGAATTGATAATACCTTTCAATCACAGAGCAAAGATGTTTGAAGTGTCTGACGAAACGTCACCTACTTCAAGCGGATTGGTCAGCATCAGACACGTGATTGAGACTGGGGAGGCCTTATTTCCGACAGTTTTACGTCACATGTTCGGAGAACTGCCAGCGGTTTCTTATTGTTTCACGGGAGACTTGAGACTGGAGAGGGTGTTTTACGAGGACAGCGTCCTTGCGTCCACGCTTGACAAAGAAGCGCCATTCCCACTTGAAATTAAAACAGATTCCAAGGTGAGGTTTACAATTGCATTAAATGAAGCAGACATCAAACGGACAAGTGATTACAACGATGCCTTTTGTGCATGTGAGGAGCTTGGAGATAAATATCTCTCGGGAATGAAAGTGTCCTTCACTTTGCAACCGGAAATGGTACCACTGGATCCACTTGATTGGTCAATGTCAGAAGCCGGAAGTGACGCAGAGGATGTTGAGGATGTAGACGCAAAGTCTGAATTTGAGATAGACTGGGATCCCGACAGGACAAACAGTGTGGTTAATTTGGCGGAAAAGACAGAGGGAGTGCTGCGCCCGCATCCGAAACCTGACGTTGTTCTGGCGGACAGAAATGAACAGCCAACGGAACTGCAACACTCACAGACAAATGAGACGCGTTCCCGTAAAACCGACTTGTATATAATTGATAGTGGATTCAAAAACACTGTTTCCTTGGAGAACATGCGAGAAGAGATCGTGTGATTGTACAGTTTAGGTTTTACCCAACGTGTATGAGTGCAATAACTTCCGAGCGTGTATTACCCACATGCCAAATGAACAGCAAGGAATCAAATAGACCACGCATTACTTCTCCCCCGTAAATTGAACTTCAGAATACTTACACCTGGGAAAAATGTTATGCTCACCTGATTTCATGTATTCGTAACGTTCGTGCATATTTTTTAATTATTTACATGTGACATAGATCTAACTTCGATTCCACTAATACCTGGTGAAATGTCTCAGTCTTAAGATGGTCACAAGGGCTTACTAAAGCAAGGAAGTCAAGTGCGTGTGGCCATGGAACACTCACAAAGTCATTACCACTTAGCCACTTGTGATTTTCTATTTGTACATAAATGTGTATCATTTAGAAACAAATGTATTTCGTCACTAAATTGATATATGATTTAATTTCGAAAATAATAAGCGGTGCTTTTCAGTTATATATATATAGTGATATTTATCTTAAGAGAAATGTGTGAAAATTATATCTAATCTTCTACTGGGAACTATACACAAAGAACTTAAGTACCCCCTGTAATTTTGGCAATCATAGGTTTTCAACACGTACATGAAACATCTCGTGGTGACCACGATGGAAAAACATAACGTTTTCTGACCCGTATGATCCTTTGACTCATAAAACCGACAAAATGATTGGAATCCATGTTGAATTTATGATGATAATTGCTCATTTTTAAAAAGAAACAAACACTGATTTTCATACAAAACCATGTCTGTACAAGTATGGCCCTGGAATGTTTAATGTTGAATTTATTGGTGAATTCAAAATGCCATTTTGCCAGCACTCTCCTCCTCATACCCCCTGTCAGCCTTCTGATCCTCAGAAGGGCCAGTCTACGTCATTCCTCGTGTAAAGCAGCCTGCAATTGGACCAGGTTCTGTACAGGAAAGTCCCTTTGTTGCACACGACTACCAATCATGTCCCAGATATACTCAAAGGGTCATTCAATCGTGAGATATGTCAGAGGGTGCTTAACTAAGTTCTTTGTGTATAGTATCTGAAGATTTATATTGTGTTATCTGTTACATTTTCTGTTGAAATACCATGTCCGTTTCCCGATAATGCGCTCGTTGTACTATACTGGGGGGTTACTTACAAAGGCGCGATGTTGGTAATTTGCACTCGTTAAAGTGTGTGAGAAACACTCGAGTTAACGTTACGAATTCAAACACTGAATGCGAAATGGTGCGGTAGGTCACCCAATAGGCGTTCGCCCCGACGGCAACGTTTGGTACGATGTCAGAACCGTTTCATCGCAGGTTCGAATCCCAGTTTCATCCTGATTATGATTCCTCTATTGTCAGCGCCATATCCTGTGGTGAAGGATATCACCATCCGCCCAAACTGAGCTGACACGCCTTGAATCACTGAAATACTAATGTTAAGAGCGGGACTAAGGCCAAATAAAAAAGAATGTTGTGGTTCCGATTACACCTCTTTTACATTTAGGGTAGGTAAGTAGGATTTTATGTTATTTTTTTACATTTTGTAGAAGTAAAGTACAGACTAATAACACATTTATCAGTGTGTTGCTCGGAAAAATAATGGTGTCTGAAAGCTTATTTTATTCATACTGCATAACAAATAGGGTCGACACCAGAATTCAAGGGTCGGTCGGGTAATTGGAACCACAACAATATTTTGAGGCCTAAACGCAACTCCCTCACTCACAGTATGTCACAATGTGTTCCTTAATGTAGTATATATAACTAATGTTGATTTCAGGCACAAATTACATGAGCATAATAATTCAAGGTGATGTCAAGGTATACTTGTTACTAACATTGATATGTCTTTATTTATGTTGATTATTTGATCAATGATCATAACATTTATACAGTGTCATTAAACCTTACGAATTCACACTCTGCGTTGTTTTCTGTCTGTCGTTCCAATTTGCCATTTATGCTTCCTCAAACGCATTGTTTTAACTCGAGTCCTGTCACGTTAGCACCCGAGGAGGCAGAGGTCTCACTCACTCACTCCATAACTCACCCACCCACTCACTCACTCACTCACTCACTCATAGAAATGCATGGTTGATTTCTAGTGCTGGACTTTGGTAAAGTCTGCAATAGCAGCATTTGGTTGCAAGGTAGCGTTCTGAAAATTCTGCACTTGGGATTACCAAGGTAAAGGGAACTCAGGATTTGAATTACTTCTTTGAAATGATTTAAACATATTACTAATTGAAAATCTTTTCAAATGAAAGAGACTTCAGTGTCTCAGTAAAACGAAATAACCAAATTCCAGGAGGACCGTTTAATGAGTCCAACACCTACAATACAACCACCTGGTCCCCATTCCATCACAAGGATCTCATTTGTGTGAAGCGCGGCTCACCATTTTAGATCCACATTACAGAGCTCAGGATTGAAATTGTCCTCACGTATAATTAACGGCGTTAAAGAATCCCACGTGTTAAAAAATCGATTGTTTGTGCAACCCCGGCGTCTCCTGGGACACGACGGAGTGGCCGGTTAATAGCGCAGTAATCCCGTTACGCCGTCTTTGTGACCTGTTACAGATTAATGGTTTTAGTTATCGCGGTCCTTGACGCAATGGAAAATGGGGATTATATTCAGGAGAGATTTTTCACAGCGTTTATATTCCCGAGGCTTCATAGATTTCCTGTAGACAGAATTATGAGACGCTATCAAGAGGAGCGATCAGGAGTAGATCGTATGAAGTGCATGGGATGAGGCTGGGAACATCTCCTTCAGACGTTCTTCATTAAGGATGAAAATCTGAATGTTGTTTTACGACGTCGGAAATATTTCAGAGATGTCACTGCTACCTGGCAACAGTCATTTTGGCGCTAACTGCAGCGTTACAACTTTCACTTACTATTCTGCCCCGAAATTCACCAATCCACTCAGGACGAATTTAGTTGATGCACGGATGTCGGTGAAAATTGCGTCCACGAAGCCTGGTGAACCATCCGCATAAGGGATTGCTACAAAGGTTTGCACTGCTGTTTGTCGATTCATACCTCAATGAACCAAAAATAGGAAAGTACACAGTCAATCCTTACCATTAAATTCCTAAACGAAAACAAAGTGATATCTGCAACAGTTTTATCTGAAACAATTATACATATCTAGGAAGACAAAATGGCTGTGATTTATAAACGATCCTAGCGTAGGATTAGATATTGTGGCGCCACAAAGCATGTCATTGTTGAATTATTGGACAAACATTGACGCTAACGGACAGTAGCATTTAAACAAAGTTCGTAGGGCCTGTCAATCACAAGAGGCCACAGAGTGAGTGTGAGAGTTTAGTTGCTCGCCACTTTTAGCAACATTCCAGCAATAACACTGCTTGGGACACCAGAAATGGGCTTCACACATTCTATCCATGTGGGGAATCGAGCCCAGGTCTTCGGCACGACGAGCGAACGCTTTACCCACTAGGCTAACCCACCTCCACAGAGTGAAAGAACTGCAACAGTTGGATTGTGATGAACTAGACAGATTTCAAATGACATACAGTTTGCACAACTGTACAACTTTTTAAAAATCGGAACCGTTCACTGGAGAACCATTACATTCTCAGTTTTATGTTGATATATAAGATAATGAACTTGAACCTTTCCCCTTTCACGTCTCTTCTCTCTTGCAGAAATTCTGCGACATCATTAGACCTCAAACCGCATGTTTGTCGTAATGACGAACACTCATTGTGACACTTAATTGGCTCGCGCGACGTCAACGAAAAGAGTTTAAGGGTGCTCGTTTGGAGGTTACATCTGAGGTGAATTAACATTTGACAGGGCTTCCTTCCGTGAGAGATTCTGTCGGAAATGAATGCGCCACAATTTTGACAAATTGCCCAATAAATTAAACCATTTCATCGACAAACGCCAACAGTTGCGGCAGATATTCCCCGGAGAGTCAAAACGGCAATATGCTGATTTTTGTTGTCAAAACTGAAAAATGAGGGACTTAAAAGCACAGTCAAAGGATCGAACTTTATTCAGATGAACATGTTATTGTGTCTGTGTGTCTTTATCTTGAGAGTGTTTCTTTTCTATTGAAGTATCAATATATCAATATTATAGCAGCATAAGAAATGGCTAAACCAAATAATTTGTATGATTGATTGAAACATATTTATTAATTCAAGAAAAGGATTGGGCACAAGTTATCCAACTTAGAAAATCTCTCTCCCATAATTTGTTTTAACAGAACACTGTGAAATACTACGTATTTTAGTATAATATTATCTATTTGCTGTATCCTACCATTTTGTACACTTTGGTTTTTCTAACCATTTTAGTTTCCATAACATTTCCGCTTCATTTACAATTAAGTTGGCTGCCTGCTCCACCAGGATCCGCTGATTCTTGCTTCGAATCCCACATTCGTGACCCTTGGTCATATGAGAGTTCATTGGTTGGACAAAACTGATGATACAGAAAAATGTTCCAAGCGGCGTGAAACTCAATTCACTCACTCCTCAAGGTCTTATATATGAAATAATACAGTTTACTATAGAATCCAGAACAGCAGGGGGCAATGCATATAGATTCATTCTGAGGATCACTGCGTCAGCCATATAACATTACTCCGCTACTTAATGTAAATTATCTTCCTATTTTTCTCCCAGAATTATGGTAATGGTGTCATTCCCAACCAGAAGGCGGCCCAACCCGGCACTGCTACCATCAGACTGACAGAACACATGCACACTTCGCTGTCTTCATAATCATATCTGAAAACCATCGTGCCAGTCATGGGTGAAATCGTCATTGATTTCCGATGTGGATCAAGCAGTGAAGTTCTCCAGACCCACTCTACTGTGTAATATACGGGATTGCCCGTGTACATCAAACAGACAGACAAACTTGACTCTTGCAGAATCATGAGGAAATTATTGGCATGCATATCGATTCATAAAAAACAGCCCGTCGATAACCCATCAGAAGGTTATACCGCAATACCTCTTTTAGAGGCTGGGTATTTATTAAACGCCGAATCAACGATTTGCGTGGAATTTATAGATGTCCAGCCGTCTAATACAGGAAATACGGTACGTTTGATATCGGATTCTTTTAGCGATAGCTTTGACGTTCAAGATCCCTTCTTGGTTCGATGATGTTCAGTGACGAACAGGTCATTCCTCATTGAGACATACGGTAACAAAAGTAAAAGTGTTCGGTTCCAAACTAAAAAAGAGGCATTGCCTTTAGAACGGAACTACATCAAATTTCAAAACAAGTTCGAATCTAAATATACCAAATTTTCCCTGTACATCAAACTCGCAGACACACTTGACTCAAACAGAATCACGTGGAAGTTATTGACTCGGAAGATCTGAGAAATCAACTTGACGACCTTTCAAAACCTTTTAAAATATTCAGGATTTATGTGTTCTGA